TAAAATTGGTGGGTTGGCTTCCATCAGCACTCTTATGTCCTCCAAAGAAGACAGAAGACAAATGGCCACAAAACAACATCCATCTGTAGTTCACTTCAACTGCAGAGCGCTGACCTTTGGACTAAACTGCCTTTCCTCTAAACTGCCTTTCCTCTAAACTTCAGGCGCGGACAGAATCACTGGAATCGACAGCCTAGATGCTCAGGTCAAGATAGGCCTGTCTTCCTAGAGATTTCTTAGCTCAAAGGGTCTTCTGGAGCCTGGAAGGCCTGGTGCTAAACAGCAAAGGTCAAGTGCAACCTTTAACAACCATGGAGGACCCCAAAAAGAGTAGCTCTGGGTGCCAACCAAGTAAGTTCTCTGTCGTTTTTTAATCAGTAGATCAAGTAAAATCTTATCCTTCTCAAAGATTTCTGACAGTTTAATAGCTAAGAAGTTTTGCCAGGTTACCTCACCAAATAAATTTCAAATCAAATTTCTCTCTTATGTTGCCCTCCATAGTCTTAAAAAACAAAAAACTTTTCATTGTACAAAAATATGCCATAGTCATTATTTGTCTAAAACTTCTGTTTCACAAACCCAAGGAGTTCTTCTGACTTCCAGGGAGTCGAATTCAAGAACCCACCTTAAACAGGTCAGATACATCCACCAATTCCCTGGTCCTAAAAAATTTTTTTTTATTTCCTTAATATAACTTTGTTCTTTGTTCTGCCAATACCTTAAACAGGATGAGAGACACCAGACATTTCCATGCCACAGACAGCGGTTGGGAGTAAAGAGACCAGGTATGCCAGGATATGGCCAAGACCCAGCCTTCTTAGGGTTACCCTCCCCCAGGACGCCGCCCACAAATAAGCCAGAAGCTGTCCTGAGAATTCACCGCCCCAATTCCGTCAAACTGTGGTGTCTAATCTCCTGCTTTTTATTCTAATCAAGAGCTGGGAATGTTATGGTTTTTGTCTCTTTAAACGACAATCCATGCCCACTACTGGCAGCCCCTCCCTGCGCCATCTTAGATGTCTCACTGTCCCCTCTTGGGGTGCGGGCATCCCCCCCACCTGTTTTCCCTTCTTCTCTCTCTCTGTCTCCTCCTTTCACTTTCCCCTTCATAACCCCCTGAATAAATATCTAACCTCACACTACATGTTGTGTCTATCCATGTCTCTGTCTCCTGTCGCCTGCAATGTGTCTGCCTGCGACTGGGACCAGCCACCACTGCCAGCCGCCACATGGCCCACTTGCCGGGATCTTGCAGGGATCCACAGCCAGTCTCTGTCTGGACTGACTGCTCCCAGAGCCCGCATGCCTGCCTGCACCCACTTGCCGCATGGCGGTTTTAAAAGGGGGGGTATATCATATGATTCAATGAATTTAACATACATGATGGAGAATCTTCAAATCGAGTACACACATTAGTTGCTTTAGAGCTTTCTGTTAAGAGTTCTTCATCCTCCTCTTGCTCTGTTCTACGGTGTCGGTAGCTGTCAAAATGAAAACAAAAATCAATAATAATCAGTTTTATTTCAGTACAGCAAATGATGCTATCACAACAATCTTAACAGGTGTCTAAGGTAAGCCAAAGCCACAGATGTAGCACAGAGATAGAGCACTCGTCTAGCATGAGTAGAAGGTCCTAGGTTAGAGCCCGTGTACCTCAAAACATTTAAAGGAAATAAATAAACAAATAAAAAGTTGAAAAGCAGAATGAGCACAAAAGTGAGGAGAAAATTTGCTAGTAAATTTAAATCTTAAATATTCATGTGGCTAGCTAAACTATGAATAAAATGTACATTAAGAGGCAGGCTAATCTCTAAATCTGGGACCAGCCTGGTCTATATAGTGAGTTCCAGGACAGCCAGGGCTACAGAGAGAAACTTTGTCTCAAGGGGAAAGGGAGGAAGGAATCAAA